CAGCTGTCCATGCTTTATCTTGTGCCTGTTACAACAGCTAGATAATGGAAGTGTTAAATTTGGCTGCTTGAGGCTGACTCTGTAGTTTGAGTCTGTACTAATGCAACCTAATTTAGTACATAAATAATCTGAAACCTAATTTAGGAGTATATTTTTCTGTAACAGTTAGCTGGATCTCAGCCTATCACAAATAGCCAATTGATCAGACTATGTCTAAATAAATTGAATTCCTAGCCATAACCAATCAAACTATTTCTGTACTTTACTTTGCAGTTCTGTCTATTAGTAGTCATTGCCCACAGTGCAGAGCAGAGTTCTCCAAACCTCTTCTGGTTCTGAGTGCCGCCTAATTCATGAATCATTCTTTACTCAAATAAACTTCATTAGACTTGTTTTGTTTAAGGATTTCCTTTTTGTTTTTTTATAGAAAATTTTATAAAGTCTTTTTTGTTTTGGGGGGTTTTGTTTTAATTTCAGAATATTATAGGGGTACAAATGCTTTGATCACATAAATTGCCTTTGCACCGCCAGACTCAAAGCTACAAGCATGTCCATCCCCCAGACAGCATGCACCACACCAATTAGGTGTGAATTTACCCATCTCCTTCTCCCCCTTCCTACCTGCCTGACACTCAGTAAATGTTACTTCCATATGTGCACGTAAGTGTTGATCGATTAGTACTAATTTAATGGTGAGTACATGTGGTGTTTATTTTGCCGTTCTTGTGATACTTCACTTCAAAGAATGGGCTCTAGCTCCAACCAGGATAATGCAAGAGGTATTAGTTCCCCATGGAGTAGAACTCCATGGTATACATGTACCACATTTTATTAATCCACTCATGTATAAATGGGCACTTGGGTTGTTTCCACTTCTTTGCAATTGTGAATTGTGCTGCTATAAACATTTGTGTGCAGGTGTCTTTTTTTTTCCTTTGGGTAAATACCCAGTAATGGGATTGCTGGATCAAATGGTTTCCTTTTAATAGAAGTTACAACAAACACAAATGGTGTTTACAGTGTCTCAGGCACTAGCTCAAATGCTTTACAAATACTAACTTATTTAACCATCATGTCTCTGAGAGGCAGGTACTCTTATTATCCCCATCTAACAAATGAGAAAACTGGGGCACAGAAACGGTAAACAATATGCCCCAGGTCATACAGCTGGTAGGTTAGTGACAAAACAATGTCTGTGAACTCAGGAAATCTGACTCCAGACTGAGTTCTTAATTACTCTGCTCTTCTGCTTCTTGAGAACTCGGGAAGCAAAGGACTGACCCAGAGTCAGGGAGCCAGAGAGGTGCCCCAAACAATGTCTATCGTGTAGTGAGAAGATCTGAGCACTGGAATGGCATTCAGGGCGAACTTGGGGACTAACTGCCCCTGGTATCCATCAGTGCTTGCCACTCTGTTTCTTTGGTATGTATTTCTGGGGATTCTTTCACAAGGGGATATTCAAAGCAGTTGTAAAACAAGCCTCCTAGGATTCCCACCCCCTGCCCTTTTGGATCATGTAGCCAGCTCTAATCCCCCACTCCACAGAAACGCTGGCACTGCCACCTTCTGAGGTTCAATCTAGTCACTGCCACTTATCAGATATATATGTCCTTACACTATGCCCCAGTTAGCTCATCTGAAGACTGGGCAAATTATAACTTATTTCACAAGCTGTGAGGATTAAATATATGCATGAAAAAGTGTTACTTAAAGGTTAGGATAAAAATGATTTTTCTATAAGATAAAGATTGGAAGAGAAGTGGGAGAATGGAGGAAAACAGTTCATCCTAAAATTAAGGTGTCTGAATCCAGAAACAGCCTTAGACCTGCACAAGAGAGGTCCTTGCTGTGGGCACCATGCTTTAGAAAAAAAGAGTTGGCAAATTTTTCTGTAATGGGCCGGATAGTAATATCACAGGCTTTGCAAACCATACTTGTTTCTATTGCAACTTTTCAACATTTCCATTGTAAATAGAAAGCAGCCACAAACAAAATGTCAACAAACTGAGCATGGCTATGTTCCAATAAGATTTTATTTACAAAAACAGGCAGTGGGCTGGGTTTGACCCATAGGCCGTAGTTTGCTGACCCCTGCTTTGGAAGGTTTCACTCTGGCCAGTTGCACCCCTCCTCATGAAGTAAGGAGACTGCAGGGCTGGGGGCACACCCAGCTAGAGCTCAAATCCATCCTCTTCTAAACCATGATCCAGATATATGAGATTTCCATCCAAATAGCCACAGAGCCTATGCCCACTTTCAGGGCCTGCACAGGACTTTTTTCTGGGTCTGTCGTCATTCAAGGTGGACCACAAATGCTGCTGTGCACATGCTCAGCCCAGAGGCTGTGTGTGTGTGTGTGAATGTGTGTGTTGGGGGTGAGGGTAGGATGTAGATGAAGCTTTAATGCAAAGCCCGAGATGTCCACGAGTATGACCACGAGGCCCCTACTCTGCAAGACAGAGCTGAAGGTGGGAAGAAAAGAGGATTGTCTGTGGGCTGGGAGCTGAGGGCATGTGCTGCTACATTTTGGTGTGGAATTCCAAGGAGTCTGAGAATTCTGAATTCTCCGACTCTGATCTAGGTTGTTGTGAAGTCATATTTGGAGCATAAGTCATATTTCCACTGTATCTTAGCTCTTTTTGACATATAAACATATGTCATTCGGGTCTCCATTTGTACCCTGTCCCTGGACCCCACAAATAATAGGAGAAGAAGGACAGCCTGATACCACAGGCTCAATGACTGTACAAATGAGGACACATTTGCTGGAGCAAAATGAGAGTTGTTTTTTATTGTGCTTCAGGGCAATATGTCAACAGTTGCAGGAAAACAAAGCCAAGCCCAATGCAAGGTCTGAGAGAAAGTCCGAGAAGGCTTGGAAAAGAGCACACACACACACACAAGACGAGTTAAAGAATGTATATCGGACATATCTTTCGATTATTATATCTTCTGTAAAATGCTTTTCTATAAGATAAAGATTGGAAGCAGAAGTGGAGAATGGAGAACAGTTCATCCAAAATTAAGGTGTCACATGGAACATTCAGTAAACAGCCTAGACTAATTGCAATAAGAGAGTGTCTCTTGCTGTGGCGAGCCACCCATATTTGTGCTTTTAGATATGAAAAATAAGTGCAAATTGTCTGTAATGAGCCGGATACGATCAATTTCCCCATTAGTTACCAGCGTGCACCACCTCCATCTATTTCTTATTGCAATTTTCAACACCTCTTATAATAGGAAAGCATCCTACAAAAATGTCAACAAACCTGAAGCATGACTATAGGTTCCAATAAGATTACTTTAGCAAAACAGGCAGTGGGCTGGGTTTACATAGCCGGTATTATCACCCCTGGCTTTGGAAGGTCTTCACCTGGCCAAGTTGCACCTCCTCATTGATAAGAGTAGCAGGGCTGGGCCAACACCCAGCTAGAGTCAAATCCATGCCTCTCTAAACCATAGGATCAAAGATATATTAGATTCCATCCAGAATAGCCAAAGCCCTATGCCCACTTTCAGGGCCTGGCACAGACTTTTTTCTGGTCTGCGTCCATCAAGGTGGAGCCACAAATGCTGCTTGCGACATGCTCAGCCCAGAGGCTGTTGTGGTGTTGAAGTGTTGTGGGGTGAGGCGTAGGAATGTAGATGAAGCTTTAAGCAAAGCCCCGACAGATTCCACGAGGTATGACCACGGGCCGCCTACTCTGCCAAGACAGAGCTGGTAGAGGAGGGAGAAAGATGTAGGGAGGGCTGCGGAGCGAGGCATGTGCGCACTTTATGGTGTCAGGACGGGACTTACCACTCACATGTAGAGTCATTATTAGGACCAATAGTCATATTCCCATCTGTATCTTACTACTTTTTTTTTTTTTTTTTTTTTTTTTGAGACAGAGTCCGCTTTGTTGCCAGGGCTAGATGGAGTCCGTGGCGTCACACTAGGCTCACAGCAAACCTCAAACCTCTGGGCTCGAGCGATCTTAATGCCTCACCGTCCCTGGTAGCTGGGACTACAGGCATGCCCACCCATGGCACGCTAATTATATATATCATACGTATCAGTTGGCCAATTAAATTTCTTCTATTTATAGTAGAGACGGGGTGCTCGAGCTTCCTTGCCCAG